GAGGTGCTGGAGTGGGACGGAGAGGCCTGGGGACACAGGGGGGTCCTGGGGCACAGGAAGGGATGGGGGTGGCAGAGGTCTCCCCAGGGCAGTGGCCAGTCCCTGTCCCCTTCCCGTAACGGCCCCAGCTGTCCCCGGGTGGGGCCGGGCTGGCCGGCACCCAGCGCCCCCGCAGACTCCCCCGGCGCAACGACGTGGCTCTGGGCGGTCCCGGGGCTCTGTCCCCCCTGGGCGGGATGTGGCTGGCCTGGGGGGAGCATGGGGACCCCGATGTGGCAGACCCCAGTGTCCCCCCAGGAAGGTGATGCCGGGGTCCCCTGAGCTGCCGTGTCCCCGCAGGAGGATGAAGCTGCCACCCGCCTGCTGCCGGCTCCAGACGCTGGGGGCCGCCCTGGGGGTCTGCGTCACCATCGGCTTCACGGTGCAGCTCCTGGGGGGGCCCTTCCAGCGCAGGTGAGACACCCCCCCCCACCCCAGGCCCCCGGGCTCACCACACGCTGCACCCCCAAAATCCCCTGGGACCTCACCCAGGGCATGTCCCAGGTGGGGCAGGATGCTGGTCCCTGACCCTTCGCGCATCTCCTGGATGGATGGGATGGGGGTCCCAGGACGGGTCCCTTGGATAGCTGGGGCCAGGCAGGACAGGGGGTCCCCACCAGCACCCCCTGACCCCGCCGCGTGTCCTCAGGGCCCCTGTGGCCCCTGCCGGCCGCCCCCCGGCGCCCTGCCAGCCCCGCACCCACCTGGTGTTCCTGAAGACCCACAAGACGGGGGGCAGCAGCGTGGTCAACCTGCTGCACCGCTTTGGGGAGGCGCGGGGGCTGCGCTTCGCCCTGCCCCACCGCTACCAGTTCGGGTACCCCAGCCCCTTCCGGGCCGAGCGGGTCAAGGGGTACCGCCTGGGGGGTCCCCCCTTCGACATCATCTGCCACCACATGCGCTTCAACCTCACCGAGGTACCAGGGGCGCGTGGGGACAGCGGGGATGCGGCAGCTGTGGGGGGGAGATGGGGGGACGTGGGGGAGCTGGGCTGGGCTGGGGGATGTGGGATGGAGAGAGGTGGGGGACAGGGCTGGGGCGGGGATGGCTGGGGCTGGGGGCATCCGAGGGAGGTGGAGGACATCAGGGGGAGACGTAGGAGGTCTGGGGAGGTTTGGAAAGAGAAACGCTGTCTGGCGGAGCCAGGGGATGCCCCGGGGAACACGGGACATCTGGAGGAGATGGAGGGCCCTCTCGTGAGGCAGACGATGTCTAGGGGCGAGGGGTTTCCTGGGGGGGATGGAGGCCGGGGGGAGGCGTCTGGGGGATCCGGGAGACAGCCAAGGGAGTGGGGGGACGTTGGGGGCAGGGGGGCCACAGCCGGCAACCGCCCCGGTGGGGTGCCGAGCCGCCGCCGCGGTTCCCACCCAGGTGCAGAAGGTGATGCCCAACGACAGCTTCTACTTCTCCATCGTGCGGGACCCAGGCACACTGGGCGAGTCAGCCTTCGCCTACTACCGGGCTGTGGCACCGGCCTTCCGGCGGGCCCCCTCACTGGCTGCCTTCCTGGCGGCCCCGGGGCGCTTCTATGAGGCCGGGGCGCGGGGCAACCACTATGCCCGCAACCTGCAGTGGTTCGACTTCGGGCTGCCGGCGGCAGAGGACGGGGCAGCGGTGGAGGCAGCGCTGGAGGGGCTGGAGCGGGACTTCGCCCTGGTGCTGCTGGCCGAGCACTTTGACGAGTCGCTGGTGCTGCTGCGCGAGGCCCTGTGCTGGCCTGAGGAGGCCGTGGCCGCCTTCGCCCACAACGGCCGCCCCGCTGGGGACGGCCCCCGTGTCTCGCCCGCCCAGGCCGCCCGCCTGCGGGCCTGGAACAGCCTCGACTGGGCGCTCTACGCCCACCTCAACCG